AGACCGGCCATTTCAGGAACGTCCTCCTGCCGCCGCAGTCAGCAGTGTTGGTAAGGAACTAGCCGCCAAGTCAACGTTCAACTTGGAACCTTACCTTGACGCGTCGAGTTCCACGTCAGTATGACATTTGTCACGTGTCGGTGAGGGTCCAGCCTGCCGCATCATGGAAAGCGAAGCAGAACATACAAGCTAGCAATCACTAGAACAACGAGTTTGGGTATTTCTCAACTACGGCTACCTTAACAGTGCTGATATTGATACTAGCTATAGATCTAGAGAGCCGCGAGGCGTGCACTGGCACTACATTTAAGTGACATCATCGTGGTCCCGGATCTCACTTATCTATGATGGTGACCGACGTCATCCTGAGGAACAGGCACGGGCCATGTAGCGACGTACATGATGAAACTCATGTTTTCAAAGGTGATTATCATTTTCAAACACTAGTTCGTATCGAGCTCCGGAAACTATTACTACCTGATCAATGATGAATCGATGATACGCCGAAGTCCGGGCGATATAAAGCTATGAAGCATCGGGATCAAATTCTACCGTAGGATCACAGGTTGAACAACTCATCAAGTATTCTGTATCGCATCCTATCGCGCATTCACTCCGCAAGGGGTTTTCATTCCACAACAACGGGCCCATCAAACCACAGGGTTCCATTTAGTGATTCATCCTGAATCGTTCGATCCTCTGATATGTTGCTGTTGGTTAAATATTGACCATCAGTGGCGACCACGTTGTTTATCTTTTCGGCTTTGCAGCCTGTTCTCTGTACCGCAACCCTGGTGATACACTGGTCCGCCGTATCAATGTCGAAGAGGACAGCAAAGCACTGCGAATATTTTTAATACATCCTCCAACTTTTGTGATCTGCTCCTTGGTAAGCAGCCTTTCACCAACTGGGCGAAATACTTTTAAGAATGGCCGTCAAGCATTCATGAGGGAATCAGCCCAGGACGAAACATATCGATTTGGATCGTATGATGAGAATCAGACAGATCGTTTCCGCTCTGGTCCGGTCATCATCATCATCATCACACGTGCACCGCTGCAAATATGTCATCTTCATTCGAGATACGTGGACCGTTGTCCTCGGCTTCCTGAACCCGTCTCAACCGTACACGGTTACAAGGAACTTCATCCGCGCACACCGCTTACCGGGCTTGATATCGTTTGATATCCAAAGGGGAATTTCTGCGGCTGGTGAGTCGTCGTATTGTCATGATACGAGGTTAGGAAGTCTTCGCAGTTCGATGCAAGTTTCGATGCTGATTTGATGGTCAGCATCTGGGTCTGCGATCTGGCACAGAAGCCAACATTCTACCATTTCCAGAAGCTGAACCATACTGTGAATAAATGAATATTTTATTTGGCCGTCTACGTTGAGTGCACAAGCACGTACTCTCCCTGGATGTGTTCCGCAAACCAAATGCCTTGACCCAACATGCATGACATATGCACAACGGATAGGTAGATACAGTTCCGAAAGTATATGATACTCCTACAACTTGGCTTTCAATGCCTTTCCAGCATCTCTCACAGCATCCTTCACGGTCTCCACAACCGACGCCTTGTTCTCAAAGTTGCCCATTATTTGTTGCATACCTTCAGCTGAGGTAGTAGGGTTTGTAGCATGACCATCATCTACAAGGCGTACATCAGCCTCCTGTTCCAGAATTGATTTCGCGGAACGTACCAAAGTTGGTGAAAATGTCCCATTTGGAGATGATATCTTCCGGTGTGAGCACTCTGTTAGTAGGGAACCCGTAGCCACCAGCACGCTGCCACCGAGTCTGCGCTGCCCATCCACCAGAAATCTCAAACAATTGTCCTGTCGTCTCGGTGTTGGCTTCGCTTGTAAGGTAGCCGACGATTGGTGCAATGTAATCGGGCTGCAGGGAAGGCAGGATAAATGGAATATCTAACAAGTAAAAAGTCAGACCTTGTATGCATCGACCATTTCTTGTGGCCAAATGGTCATCGTCATGGCAGTACCCGCAGAGGGAGCGATGACATTGCTCAAGATGTTGTATTTACGACCTTCAAAGCCAAGCGTTTTGGTGAAACCCATGATACCAGCCTTGGCTGACGAATACTGTATTGAAGATGATCAGCACTCGCATTGAGAAACTGGAAAAAATGCCTTGCATTCGTCTGGCCAAAGTTACCATCTGCGAACCAACGAGTTATGAGAGACGTAGATATACTGAAAACAAACGAAACGCACAAATACCGACTTGCGAGCAGGTCGTAACAATACGACCGTAATTCTGCTTCTGGAAAATAGGCCAAACAGCTTTTGCGCACTTGACCAATATTAGAGACTATCAAATAGCTACTTGAAAGCGTAAGCGATACCTTATATGTACTGCGCAAATGCACCGCCACGACAAGATCCCACTCCTGCTCGGACATGGCGGTGAATGAACGGTCTCTCAGGACACCAGCATTCGCTACAAGGACATGTACACCTCCAAATGTGTCCAAAGCTATCTTGACAATGGCCTCGCCATCTTCTGCCGAACAAACTGCAGGAACTGCTTTGCCCCCAGCTGTGAAAGCTCGCATCAAATTGGGAACATCGAACGAAAGTGGCAACCTACCCGACTTGATTTCGGAGCACACAGCATGTGCTCCTTTCTCACTGACGTCGTTGACAACCACATTTGCGCCAAGGCGTGCATACATGAGTGCATATGCACGTCCAAGACCGGCACCAGCACCCGTGATAATGACAGTCTTGCCGTCGAATCGAACCGGCGGTGCTGACTGAGGATTCGGAGGCATTGTAGAAGCAAGTTCGAGCTAGGGAACAAAACAATCAGAAGACATCCAAGACAATTTGTTTTTGTCGCGTACAGTGCTATCGACATCGGATATGGACTCTGGGCTGTAAGAAAGAAGATCAATTGAACCAGATTTTCTCCCATAACGAGACGTCCTTACTATCTCGGGTTCGAGAAGTCGGTCACTTCTGACCACTTGAGCTTGACCTGCAACTAGAGTCAGCTACTGCAGGGCGCATGTATCCACAGACTGACAGCTGAAGGAGTGAACGTATCGTCTGTCTTCCATATGGTGCCTTTGCTGCGTTCCCATCGAAGCTCCCCAACAAATCCAGCTCCAATCTCAAACACTCTGCCAGAAGGGTTCGGTCCATCGGGATGGCACACAGCAACGACGAAAGGCGCCACAAATTCCGGCTGTCAGATGAGATTAATGCATGAAGGAATGACGCTCTCGACATTCACAAACCTTCAGATTCGCAAGCATCTCCGGAGACATGACTGTTGCAGTCATAGCTGATGCAGCAACAGGTGCAATAGCGACGGCGCTGATGTTATATTTTGCACCTTCTCGTGCCAACGACTTCGTGAATCCAATTAGACTCATTTTAGCAGCGCTATAGTTCGCCTGGCCAAAGTTTCCTGTGCAAAATTCTAAGATAATGCGCATCCAGTCACCCAGAAACTCACCGTAAATGCCAGCTGCACTAGTGGTGTTGATAATGCGTCCGAACTTCTGATTCCTAAAGTGGGGCCAAGCAGCTTTCGTACACGAGAATGCACCCTTGACATGCACAGAAATGACCTGGTCAAATTCAGCATCTGTCATGTTCTTGAGCCTACGAATCTCATCAGCACTTCCAAACCACTTCATCAAAACATAACCAACCCTCTATCCCTCAGAATACCCGCATTGTTGATGAGGATCGATACACCCCCAAAAGCACTTAGAGCGCTTTGAATCACAGCAGCGCCATCAGTCACAGAAGAGGTGTTTGCAATGGCGCTACCACCAGCTACAGTCCAACGCGACGTCACATCTCCGGGCCGGGACAAGTGAATGAAGGAGTGCACCTTTCTTTATTTCATCCACAACCTTCTGTGCAGCCTCTTCATTGAAGTCATTTACAACAACGTTTGCACCGCGCGATGCAAATAGCAACGAGTACCTGCCCCACTCTTTTCAGTCACAGCCGGAGCAGGAGATGAACAGATTACTTACACTCTCCCGAGTCCACCACCTGCACCAGTGACTACGACAGTTTGGCCTTTAAATGATAGAGACATTTTTGTTGCAGTATATGACAAGAGGAAATCTTGAAGCGTAACAGATAGGTGGTTACAATGGCCAAGCTTCAAGCGTGTGTACGCCTAGGAGATGACATACAATCACGTGAATTTTGAAACAGTCCTCGGACCATAATATTTGTAATGGCAACGTGACAAATCGCAACCTCATATAATGGACAAGAGCGATGTATAAATAATGATGTATATTGAGGGATGAGATTGATGAGACGCGCCCCGCGCAGCATACACGAGCAAGTATATACTGTCCACGCAGGCTAACCAAGACCAACTGAAAATTAAGAAGCCTGTTGACAAATCGAGATCGCAGGAAATATATAAATCGATAGATGAACAATGCCTGCAGAAGAGCGGCGTGGAATAAATGCCGACAAACGCCAGCGGGGATAATTTTGAAGATATAGAATGCAGCTGTGCGAATAACTGGTGTGAGGTGAATTGAAAAATAAGGACAATGGCAAATAAAGTGCAAAGCAAGAGAGAAAGAATAGCGTGCAGCGGCATGGGATGAATGATGGCTGCTAGAGTGTGCGGGATGGTTCATAGACAAAACGGACATGTAGACTTAATTATGAATACGATGCGTTTCGACGACGGGCACAGTAATGGAGTGCAAAAATATGAGATGAAAAATAATGAAACGAGATGGAGATGCTGAAAAAATGGGATGCATGGGAGAGCAGAGCAGAGCGAGAAAGACATAATAAGAGACATGGCTGGGTGGAATGCGTAATCAGACAGTTGAGATTGCAATGATGCCAGAGTGAAACAGTATGTCAAGCACAGAATGAGATGAGATGCAGGCAGATCGGGAACCCATGAACTTTTGGACGAGAGGGATATTCAGGCCGTGACCTGGCAGTTATCTCTAGCCGGAGGGCCTTAACTACGCCAGTCCTAGGCTTCGTCCACGTTCGATTTCGCCCACTCGATTGCAAAGAGTGACGCCTTCAGGAACTTCTTGTTGGCATATTTCTGGCAAACGTACTGGCTCGCGAAGTTGTCTTCGAGTAGCTTCTCGCATATCCATTGGTGTCCGGGCTCGAGGTGCTCCGCGACGAAGCTAGAGTGGAACACAAACGACTCATTCTAAAAGAGGAAATCACAAACAAAAAGTCAGTCACATGATTCACAGCCATCATGGACACGCGTTTGCATCGTGCCCATATACAAAAAGCTAACAGAGGCGGTACTCACCCAATCACCACCCAACATCCTCCTAGCACTGTACATCCCCACCGCAGCAATGAGACTCGGTTTACACCGCAAGAATCTGTGATCTAGGAGTGTCACCTCCGTCAAGAATTTGCCCAGCGTCCTCGTCTGAATGTCATAGTTATCGGCCTTGCTGATACGGCGCATCCAGCTATAGGGTGAGCAGTATTGCGAAATCTTGAAGTCAAGCGTTTGCAACACGATGCGCTCGCCCTTGAGGATCTCCTCTTTCGTATAGCCATTCTCGGTAATAAAGACGAATTCGTCGACACTGGGAGCGAGGATTTCTTCGTACTTGGCGGCGATGAACATGGCAGTAACACCGACAAGCTGAAGCTTGACTAGGGACACGACGCGTCTCGTGAGGAAACGGTCGACGATATTTATCGCGATCCAAAGCGTTTCCGGTAACATGTGCCAGCGCAGGTGCACTTGGAGGAGCCAGTCGACCAATGTTTGGCGCATTGCCCAGGTGATTTCATTCTGACCATCCATATAATCAGGATTTGGCATCACATCATCCTAGAAATCATGGTCAGCACACCCGGAACACAAGGTAGATAGAGAAGACGCACTTCGAGGTCGTTCATGTATTTAAAAATTTCCTCCGAGTACTCTGAGACCATCGTTGTGTCGAGATAGTCAACCTCATCTTCAAACGTCTCTTGGATCTCTGCGATCTCTCGGTAATGTCTCATGGCACGCTCGGTATCCACGTCAGGCCATATACGGGGCGACTTCGCATCCGCAACGGTGGACTTCTCCTCTTGTTCTGGAGTACCTTGTTCCTGTACACCCACCATCTCGTCGACCTCTTTCTCATTTATGATGCTGAGCTCAGGGTCCTCTTCGATATCTTCTACGTCCATATCGTTCTCCTTCTGTTCTTGTTCAATCGGAATGACTACTGGTACAGCGGGCTCCTGCCGCGATGCGCGTTTGAAGACAGATGGCCGTGATACACGTGAAGTAGGCCGTTGTGCGACGCTCTCCGTGCGACCTGGCCCGAGAGGGACGCGTTGTGGTCCGGTGGCGGCTGCGAGCGACGACGACCGTGTACGCTTGAGGCCCGCGTCATCTTTCACAGCGTCCTTGCCTTTACCAGCAACGTCCTGAAGTCGCGTAACCTCAGAACGTTGGGAAAGGATAAAATTGAAGGGCATGACAAACCTTGCGATTGACCGCGGTAGTGGTGACCTCACCAAGCGCTGGGCGTTGTGAGCCATTCTTCAGGCCATTTAGCACAACAGAGGCGCGAGTTGCAACTCCCTGGGTAGACGCCTGACGAGAGTGCTTGCTGGTGGCATTTTCATCTGCATTCTTGCGTGTGACGCCGATGCGACGATTCTGAAGCTGCGTGATGGATCTCCATGATCAGCCATCAAAGTTGAAAAAAAAAAGACTGAGACAGTAGACTACGTACGCGAGTGTTGTTGGCCATGATGTGAATTGAAATACAAGGCGACTTGATTGCGACCGGCTAGAGCAGTGGGCAGTGGAAAGATACAGAAGAGATTGTGAAGAGAAGAGAGAGAATTGCCCTACTGCAAACTTAACCTAGGTTTTAATCGTGGCGTAGTTGAAGAAGAAGAAAGAAGTGGATCAAATGCAAATTGAAAGGACAAGTCAGCCACCAGCGAAGCGACTTGGTCGTGTTCAAAACAACCTCCGAATTGTTCAAGTTCAAATTCAGTCCATCGCGTAGGACGCGAACCACACACGTGACTTCAAAAACAATTCAAAACAGTCGCGTCGCGCTCGTGTCGTGACGCGTGCTTTTCACACCTTTGTACGTACTAATAATACAAACGTACACGACGCCTTTCCATCAGACAAAGAAGACACAATTTCGATCTAGCCTGGCTTCCATGATATGCCAGCGTGAGCGAAGCCGTGCTAACGTGGCTGTTATCATGTGGGGAGTCACAACCGTACTTATGAGCGTCTGTTGTTGGCAGCCTTCCAAACACGTGGAATTCGTGTTTCGTATGTGAGATCAAGATAAAAACAGTTGAGGCTAAACCTACAACATAACTCTTACGTTAGTATCGGCTCTCTAGACTACAATGGAAGTAAAAGCTTACCGAACTGTACGGTGCTTCCAATGTTCACTTCTTATCTATCATGTCGGCCCACCACTTTTGCTTCCCACTCTCCCTCCAGTCACCGCTGGAAGAAGTAGGCGCCTTCTCCGGCATACCTAGTCCTGACCTGTTTGAAGTTGCGCTGACTTCTAATGGTTCGACCAACCCTGATGCGTTTTCCTGTGAGCCTAGAGCCGTTCCTGGTTGCCAACCCTGCTTCATTAGCAGCTGACGCCCAATGTTCGATTCCGGCAGTGGCTGGGGCGGTGCAGGGGTTTCGGGCATGGGGACAGAGCCGGAAGAAGTAACACATGGCGAATCGCTTCTAGGACTGAGTACACCTGGAGTGTCTAGTGGCGAACTAGGGAATAGTGCTCGTCTCTTTGCGGAACGGTCCACGTAGCTGGAGGGCTGGCTGGATGCCGATGACCTCGCTGTATCGTGACGAGATAACAACGTCCGTTTCAACATGGTCAGCGCTTTCTTGGCATCCCTCTCCTCCGAAGGCATTGAACCCACTTCCTCTCTTGCCCGTTTAACGCCTTTCGAAACAGGGAAAAGCGGAATGATATTATCGCCACTCCCGCTTGACGAGCATCCTTCACATGATATGCGGTCAGAATGGATATGCACGACAAACGTAGTGCTTCCGATTGTCAACGCATCTTTGTGCTTTAATGCGCGTGGAAAGCTGGCTACTCGTGAGGGGGAAAGCCTGATCCCCAAATCTTCACCCACGCTCACAGTCGGACCAGAATATCCACCAGGACGTAAAAACGACCCATGCTTGGAACCCATATCCACAACTGCCCACTCTCGCCTGCCAGCATCCCAAAACATCGTCGCATGTAATTTGGAAACTGCCATCTCCTTCAACCTCACACGAGGAGTTCCGCTTCCGGCCGGAGCAACATCTCTCCCAAACTGCACTTCTTTGTGCTCATCCAGTACTGTGAGACGTTGGGTCCTTGGAAGGACAGAGCTAGTTTGCACAAACAAGCGAAGCAGAGACCATGGCTTGAAATTTGATGAAAGAGATTCGTTCAGGACTGTAGTAGGTTGTGGGACCTCTGTATAGCCAGGCCATTCGTATGCAGGATCGTAGCCTGTTTCTGCATGAGTGTGATTTGTACCGCTCACCTCTCCATCCTCCATCTCCACGGATCCTTGGCGTCTAGTGGTGCAGTCCTCTCACTATCACTATCTTCAATCAGTTCGCATTCGTGAACGTGAATTTTGGTGCTTGGGAGTTGGAAGTGAATGCGAGAAATAATAAATTCGAACTCCGATGTTAATGGTTCTTACTACCATGCTCTAGGGTCATTACGCTTGTAAACTTTAGGAGACCACGCCACGTCTTGTGCGTCATTGATTCATCCTGGACCGGCACCGTGCATTAGCCTACTTCGCTTATTTCTTGTAGCATTGCGAACGCATGGAATCATTTACAGAAGTACGTGTAATTCCTTTCGTGGTCAAAACCCCCATGTCTGAATCGCATGTAGGACCATTCCAAGGCGCTCCTCGCCAAAGAATGGTTGGTCAAAGTTGACTCGCAGACTTCTACGCCTTATCTTTTCGTGTGTGCCTGCTCAGAGTCTTGAGTTGCATGTGAAATAACTCCTCCGACGTGTACGGTGGTCTCACAGAAATTTTTTTGCTCTTCAGTCGATCTGATGGCTTGCGTACTCGTCACTGACACCAAAGCTGCGTGGGCCGAGGGTGAGTTTCTTTGTGGTCACCGAGATGAATGAATAACTCACAAACCACGACCACCAAATCCACCATTAATCCGATCATGCCGAAATGCACCCATGGTACTGATCGATTCAATTTACGCCACTCATCAATCTGAATATCAATAGTCCTCACGAGCAATCAATTTGCTCGGCGGTGGCGCACGTGTAACAAGCTCTCCATTTCTCCTCTGCCGGATACGGATGAAGAAGAATCTTGGCGTGACCATCACCTAGCGCTCATAGGCCGCGCGCACTCACTCGGTGGTTTTCTGGGGCTCACGTTGGAGCTGGAAAAACCTACCTCGGGGGTAACCTTATCAGCTGGTCGTTGAGGTGTGATACGCCCTGACACGTTCCTATAGGATTTGGCACTCCAGCTGGAATGCAACAACTGGAAGTGGCGATGGGAGCCCACCTTTCTCGGGCCCAGATTATCCGCAGAAATCATATCAAAACACCTTATCATGCCCCTGATAAGTGTTAATCACCTCGCATTCTCATCCTCCGATGTTTTGGGTGAACTTGCGCCGGGAGACCTCGAGAAGGTCTGTCTATGCTTTCGTCACTCACCTTTCCATTTGCAACGGTTTACGTTGTTAGGCAACAGATAAAGTTGGACGTACTGCGAGGAGGACGCTCGACACACATATTAAGAACGCGCTATCGAGGCCACGCGTGGCGACGACCCTTCAGCGCATGACGGCCATGTTCAACTTCTTACCTGAGCTTCGTAAGTGTTAATTCGATGCTTAACACTACCCGGTATGACACGAACTTTTTTTTCGAAAGCTGCGATAATCACTGACGCGGGAACTCCGGACCTTCGCGCGCTCACGGCAGATCAAATTTCGTCGCTCAAAATAACAGTCCGAGATACAGAGCACAAACCACATGTAGGTTTCTTAGATCGAAGATCTACTCACCCTGAGCTAAGCAAGGTCTGATCCAGGATTACGATATGGCGCCTCTGCAAGAGCCCACGCCGCCTAAACTGCCACAGCAGGAAGATTCTGCCACTGAGTCCGAGTCTGAAGGGGCTGCGCCAAAGCAACGGACCTTGCTCGCCTCTCCCACCCCCAGCCATCAGCTCCGTGTCTCAGGGCGGCCTCCTTCGGCTGTCCTATCTAAGGACAGCTCCCCGGCCCTGCCCGGCCGCAGCCGCAGTCGGACAGAAGCCCCCGCATCAGAGTCCGATCCCTCGCTCGTGCGTCCAAATAAGAAGCTCAAGCCTCAGGGTTCAGATGACGACGATAGCGAGGAAGAGCGCAAACGACACGCAGCAGCAATCAAGAGCGGAGCTGCCGCTAAGCGAGGGACGAGACAACCGCTGAAACGAGGGGGCAAGCGTTTCTAGTCCCTGTCCTCGTTTCTATTCCGGTCTCGGAGAAGGGCCGGACATGCCAATGGGCAGATAGTTTCCCTCGTCGGTGGCGGACTGGCCGTACGTAGGACTGATTATTGGTATTTCGGATACCCTGGACATGTCATCGTCGCTGTGTTCTTATTCCGTAGTGAGTACGATTCTAATGACAAATTCCTAATATGTTTCTCCAGGCCCCTCAAAGGCCAGGCCCCTAAGGCGTGCTACTTTCTTGGGGTATATTCAATACCATGACTTCCCTTTGATGGATCGACATTATTAACCCCTTTTCTGTATAAAAGATGTGGAGCTATCTCTATAAATGAAAGGACTCCCAAAGATGTTAACTGTGCCGTAAGAATACAACGGTTACTGTGAGTGAATAGCAGCTTTAGACAGATGCCGATGAAAACACAGCTAATAGCACAGCAACTAACAGTCAAGTGTCCGAGGGTGGATATCATAATTAGTGGCGAATGCAGTACGATGGCAGGTAGCAAGATAAGTAGAGGCACCATGGTAGTTGTATGCTGACGAATCACTAATGGCGCCCCGTTCGATAGCCGTATTCATCCGAACCCCCACCCTCGTACTCCAGGCAAGCTTCGCATTTGTTTTGGAATAGGTTGCGAACTCTGCGGTGATCAGAAAATTCCTGGAAGCGAGTAATATCCATAAGAAGACTGGCCAAAATCAGGAGCAAGCGCGTGTTTTCGCACCATGTTGCACCCGCAGTTCCTGGCAGTTTTGTGCATATGTGCTGCACTTAGTTTGCAATTCGGCCGAGCACAATCGTATGTAATTCCAGTCTGATAGATCCGCACGTAATGCTAAATGGTGCCATTGTGGTTGTTAAGAGGTCGATGCTCGCTGAAAGCTCGGAATAACGCACCCCACATCCTCTGTACTGATCACCGAAACTGCGACGAACGGACATTGGTCATTGACAAGCAAAGACTTTCGGTGTGAGTGGAACGCACCATTCCATGCTGCACATGTTGAAGTATGTGGTGGGACTATGGATAGAAGACGAACGCGGAATAGTAGTGAGGACTGGGTTTGACTCGGATTGACGTGGTATGCTTTTATACGCACACCGGCCGATTGACCAATACGATTGGATGCATATGGTAAGGCATCTTCGGTGTAGCGGAAACCCATTTACGAAGTAATCGTGGGAGCGCATATCGAACCATGGTGTAATGTAAAAGAGCAGCCGGAGCTTTGTGACGGGCGCACCTGCATTGAGAGTAGCTGCGTGATCTCATCTATCCGTGGGGTGCCACTACCGTTTAGACTCGCAGTCCTTGATAAGGGTAGTACGGAAATGGTCAGGAAGGACCGGTCAGCATGAGGCTAAACTGATCGTAGATTTGGCACAACCTTCGTGGTCATGAGCGTTTTACTTCAAGTTGCCAAGGGTCCTAAGAACACGACGTAGCCACCATCCAGCCGTTTCACCGCTTCCGCACTTCGGAAAGCGTTCCTTCTTGGCCGGCTCTATTCCACTCTGACACGAATCAGGCCAACATCACGACATCTGTACAAGTTGACTGGCCACTGCCTGCCGTAAACCCGCAGATCCAGAGAAGAAAATAATACCCATGATCGATCGAATCTGTGCAACATGCTCTCAACATGCATGTTATGCAGAACGTCGTCTTTAGAGCTGCTGTAGTACCTTTCAGATGATCAATCACCAACTACACAGAAGTTGAATTGGTAGTACGGCAGTATCTATGGACGAATCCCGTCACTCGACTGCACTCGATAAGGTTAACAGATCATTTCACCTCAAGCGCGCTGATAACGGTTTTCCTATAGTCTTGGTCTTGTGTGTCACAGGGCGCATCTGTCCAGGGGAAATGTGGCAACGCGTTCTGTGGCGGGCACACTCGTCAGGGATTAAATAAGATTCACTGGATCGATTTGAAGTGCCTTGATGTGTCGACTAAAGAGCACTTTGAATAGATTCACACTCAGACGGTCAGGCCCAGGGACTATTAGATTAGGATTCATGATAAAAAAACCTTTCCAAAGTTCAATCATGTTACTTGGAGGTAAAGTCCTTCGAGTAATAATCAGCTGCACCCGACACGTATGGTCCGAATCGAACGAAACGTGGCGTAGTGCTACCGCGTTCAATGGGGTAACATCATTTAGATAGTCAAGAGGAACAGGAACGAGAATACAAACCCTTCATATAATACATTCAGTTTCTCCAGAAGCGTCCACAAAATTTGAGTACGCATGCAGTCATCGAGGAACAGCTTAGGGCAAATTTGGATGCTAGACGAAAATGATGTACAAAATTATCCCCAGACTTAATAGCCTTGCTTTAGTTATAGACACATGGGATATGTCACGCACGGGGGTAGTGATTGGGCTCCAAGCAGTGTCCTTGGAGCATACGGGGAGCCGCGAGGCGAGGCGGGGATAATCCCACTCTATAAGGCGAAGCTGGGGTAAAAAGATCAGCGCAACGAATACGACGCATCATGCATTTTTCATCTTCTCACGGGTGTCAAAGGACTCGGAGATGCGAAAGGACACTGGGGGTCTTGTCTGTGATGTCCTACGTAGAGCTATCTCTCAATAGGGCAATAACTTGAATGTTTGAAAAAGGACACCGGGATGTTCTGCACATCAGAGGATGATGCTCACCTGCCTGTATAATCGGACAAATTGCAGTCTCGTGCCATCCATATCATGGTAGCGTCAAGATTTTGGACTCGGACAGGCTCAAACTGTCATAAACACTCCAAAATATCGGGTGCTTCGAGAACGGTGAATCTTCCATATTTGTGAAGAAGCTTCTGACCACGCAACAAAATCTTCTGTACTTGCAGGTGAGATTCCACTCCAAATTTCAAGGACATAATAGGCGAGCGCACCAGATCTAAAGCTCCTATGTGGCAGATGAACCAGAATATTACTTCGGATGTCGTAAGATACGAGAGCGTACTAATGGTGCGATGCGATAGTCATCATATGAAAAGAAGTTCCCAATACATATTAGAGAAGCCCAGTCGCGTAGGAACGAGCGTAATCATGACCCATACAAACTCACCATGAGGTGAGAGAAGATGGCCGAGGGTGTGGATGAGGTATCGACAACTTCTCTTCGCTGGAGAGAGAAAGGTAAAGCTTTCGCGGGAACCGATTCTCTCGTAATATAACGCATGGAAGCCTGCATCACTTTGAAAAGAGGGCACCGGAGGAGCATGATCGTCTATCGTACGAGACTGCTAAAGTGGCATCATTTAATAGTAGAATAAATGAACGCTAGATGTGACGTCTGGGGCAACTTGAAGGGCGACCCTGCAGACTCGATATTCGTCATCTCTATAGAAGCGTAGTGAAACAGACTCGCAGATACTGAGAATCCGTTTACTCACGATTGCAATGGAAGACAGCTAGTGCTACGCCGATCTGCAGAACGGTATAGCACACGTGTTGGTGCAGCTGGCACCTCAACATCGAAAATGGATCCGAAGATGGCGACACTGACGAGGGTCTTGCCGACTTCAGCGGGATACCGACAAGTGATTACCACACGACAATGGTCTTCTGCACAATCCAGGTAGGCTGAAAGCATACACAAACGGAACCCGAGAATGTGGGACCGCCACCAAGGTGAATGGATTAAGAAGTGATGGTCATCAACATAATTGAAAATCCTCAAACAAACACTTTGTCGTTGTCGAGCAGTAAAGCTTCCACCCGTGATAAGCAAATTTTGGAATGCTTCGGCTACGGGCAGCCAGTGCCCGAGGTTCGAAATTCTTTGAGGACACACACGCCTTAGTCATGTATGCAAGAGCTGTTAGGCTCCCAGTTCTGTTTTCAGACAGCTCTAGACTAGCTCTAGACGGATGTCGCGGCGCTGGTCGTAATAAACTACTGGAGTTACAGATACAAGGGGAATCCCCGCTACCCCTTTCAGTCTTATTACATCCTCGAGGGGAATAGAACTCACGCACTATTATGCACGAAAATTTCAATACTTGGCGGTAGCTTGTGACACCTTCGATCCGGAGTACTGACGCCCGTCAGGAAATTTGTATTGCACTTGATCATCAGAAAAGAAGGGCACTTGGGAAATAGTCCTGACAAAGTCCTGCCTTCTGGCGACACCGATGAATAGATCATATCATCAGGCAGCATGGATACTCTATGGGTTGAAATCGGGGACACGGCGATGGGCGGCCGCCGTCCTTCAACTGTGTGGTAATTTGACTAATGCATGACTAGCCATGTACTTAAGTATTAGGTCAAGCAGTTTGAAGCTCGAAGCATGAAGGCCACTGCATGTAGAACGTCCAGCCGGTTGCATCCTGGTGAAGGATGCTATCGATCATTAAGCAGGAGCAAAGAACTCGTGGAATCATGATTATTGACCATGTGAGTTTGATTGAAATGGGTGCTCTGGGAAGTGTGTTTAACGTTTAACATACTGGTTGCATTGTAATCGGCGCGGTTAACAAGCCCATTAACCCCTGCCACTCCCGAGTCGGCATGACTGTAGCCCGGTGGAGAGTATTGCAATGCGGCCTGATGGGCTTGCTGGCAGTGAACATTTCGACAGCTGACGCTAGCCAGAGTTTTGATCCATCGCGAGCATCTTGTCTTCCAGTGGAGTCTGACCGACACAACCATTGGACTCAGATCAAGCAAGTTCTAGTGAAAGTCGAGGTTGTCATAACCTTGAAAATATCAGGGAATGGGAGCGAACAGGGGGGTACTGCTAGTGTGCGAACATTGTGGTATTAATTTCAAACTTGAATGGAGGTTCACTGACTGAGTCCAACACATTAATGAAAACCATCGAATGACCACCGGCGACAGTGATCAACATTGCTACATACCTTTAACAACATTTGCTTGCTCCCGTCACTGATGCTTTTGTTGACTCGCGGCAGTATCCCAGTTCTCCGACTGTTACGTTAAATGATTCGGACTCAGATGCCACAAGTCACGAGCATGTGATTTCATCAAAGTTCCAACCAAGTTCCAACCGTAGTATCATACGCACTTGCACACAGACGGTCGTCCTTGAAGCTTGAAGCATAACATGGAATCAAAGGTCTTGAAGGTCTTCACCTGTGAAGAGGTGGCAAAGGTGTGTCATAGAACATGTCATATGTGTGGAGCTTGATCTAACCTATATATTACACAGCACAATAAGCCCGATGACCTGGTGAGCGTTTCACTCTGTGTTATTTTTCTGGCTGAGTTTGATAGTCGTAAAGTGGATTATTATTGATAGCAAGGTGTACAATATCACTCGTTTCAAAGATTTACATCCAGGGGGTGCTTCAGTATTCGCAGAAGAAGATATAGGTACATTTTGTTTTCGTGATTTGGTGTTCGAAAAACTGAATAAGCTCTTCAGCTGGTCAGGATGCGACCGAGGCATTCTATGGCCTCCACCGTCATGAAGTGCTCCTGCGACCACAATATGCTCGTTTACAAATAGGTCACATTGAAGGAGAGAGGAGCGTTATATATTCTCGAGAGCTTGGGAAGCTCAGTGATGTGCCATATGCAGAGCCTACTTGGCTCAGCGCTGGGTACTACAGCCCTTACTTCAAGGAGGTGAAATTCACGGCAAACCCGTTTGGATTTCAATGCTCATCATCATCCAAACAGAGT